TTTCTGGTGGCAGGTTTCTCAAACGAGGGGCTAGGCTTAAGAGAAATAGCTCGTCCTCATCTGTGGGCTGTTCAATAGCTTTCAAAAGTTTGTCCTCAAACTCATCCCTCTTCCTTTTCATTCTTTGCCTTGACCCCAAAATAGAGGGTGCTGTGGAAGCCCTTGGGGTGCAGGGGGATGGGCCAGGCTTCTGGGATGCAGCAGGGGCCAGAAATAAAGGCTCAGGTGCCAACTCAGCCAGAGGTGAAGAGGTAGTCTGGGTGGTGGGGAGCACTTCAGTCAAATAAAGACTGAAAGGTTCATCAGAAGGGGTACCATCTGATGATGCTGGCAAAGGAGCTGAGGTGGCCTGGGGACTGGAGGGTCTACTTTCTGAGGGTGGGGACATATTGGAGGAGGTGGCCCTCTCCCTAACATAAGGCTCCAGGAAGCTCATGATCAGGAAGAACTTCCAGGTTGTTTTATGTTCTGCCCCTGCACCACTCTTCTTCTCCCTGACTTTCTTCCTCTCCTTTATATACCTGTCCCTGAGATTCTTCCAGGTCTTTTTACATTTGTCCTCTATTAAAGTGGAGAAAATATGTCAAGTTTAAAGATAAAATATGTTTTAAGACATCTCAAACAGCAAAGGGTCATTTCAAGGAGGTATCCTGAAGCCCTATACCTATGAAAACCATACCTCATTATTTCAATTAATAAACCTAAATTAGCCTGTAGACATCACATGCTATTTCAGTCATATATACTGCTAACAATAAGCAACTAAACACACCTGGCATGCCTATATCTAGAGAAATCTTTCTCCAACATATTATCTTCCTCCCCACATCCCAGTAAGACTAGAGTGTGGTATTGTATATTTCTGGACACTCAGACACTGCTAAAATCAGTTTTTCCTCCATCGTGTGTGTATGTGTGTGTGTGTGTGTGCTTCGAAGGGGCAGACCGAACACTAGCCCGCGTTTAAAACAATAAAAAATAAAATAAAAAACTAGCCCGCGTTTATGCTTTGATTCTATTGGTCGCGCGAAAATGCGTCACGGCGCGCAGCGGTCAAAGTTCAACAAATTTCAACTTTGACCGCGGTGCGCGCACAAGGTCGCCGAGTAGCGCGCGGCGGCGCGCTGCGCCACGCTTGCGCTTTGCTCGGCGCAGCGCCGCGTTGCTCTTGCGCCGCTCTTGCGCCGCGCAAGCCATAGAAAATAATGGGTTTCAGAGCAAAGCGCAGCGCATGCCGCGTTCGGTCTGAAAGCACCTTAAGTCTTTAGACAGGGACACTGTTACTGACACATAATGATCGCTAGATGGCGCCTCTTGCACTAAGAAAATAATTTGGTTATAAGATCAGGGTGCGTTCGGCCAGTGAGTCATTCATTTCTATGTTGATAGTCTCCGAGTCGAATGAGAAAATAATCTGAAAAAGACTAGTTTCATAGTATT